CTCATAATCCTCCCAGCTGATGATCGACATATCATCAAATACCACGTTCACTGATTCCATGACTATAGCTGACCGTTTGTTGAATACTCGGTATGTTGTGCTAGTCCCTGAATAACCCATAAAGACACCTTCATCGCTTCTTGAATCAAACTTCCCTAGATAGTCCTTATCATTTAGAATATAGCACCTGCAACCAAAAACATGAAAATACCCAAGGTTAGGTGTTTTATCGGTCAACATTTCATAAGGAGTTTTCGTGGTCCCTTTTCTCACATACACCCGATTGATGATGTAGCATGCAGTGGTAAGTGCCTCAGCCTAAAACCTTTGAGGTATCTTATTGCCATGTATCATTGCCCTAGCCATCTCTTGCAACGTTCGATTCTTTCGTTCAACTACACCATTTTGTTGTGGTTTCCTAGGAGTTGAGAACTGATGAGCTATCCTTTTCTTCTCGCAAAATTGAGTCATAAGTTCATTCTGAAACTCTCCTCCATGATCGCTACGTATCTTCTTGATTCCTCCTTTCTCGTTGATCAACTACAGAGCCCATATCTTGAAACTCTCCACTGTTTCTGACTTTTCTCTGATTAATCTCACCCACGTAAACCTTGTGAAATCATCCACTAGTACAAACACATACTTCTTTCCCCCAATACTCTCTATTTTCATTGGTCCCATGAGATCCATGTGAACTAGATCCAATGGTGCCAAGGTTTGTACATCAATAACCTTCTTGTGTTGTACTTTCACCTGTTTACCTTGATTGCAAGCTCCACATACGATATTCTCTTCTAGCCGAAGTTGAGGTACTCCACGGATCATGTTCTTGTTAATTAGAGTGGCCATGTTCCGCAGATTCATGTGCCCTAGACGTTGATGCCAAAGTTCGACACCGCCTTGCGAGGATTGAGCAGAAAGGGCAGAGACGCACTTAGCTTTCTTCTCCCACATGTAGCAGTTGTTGCCAGCTCTAATCCCTTGAATAACAGTTACCCCATGCTTTTTGATAGCTCGACATTCAGTGGCTGTGAATAACACCGAAAGTTCTTAATCACATAGTTGACTCACACTGACCAGATTGACTTTTAGACCCTTGAAAAAGTATACGTTCATTAGCTTAGATAGTTCACTGTCGCATGTAGCACCTTTTCCTTTGATAGCTTCTTGTCCTCCATCTCCAAAAGTGACTTTTCCACCTTTTACCCTTTTTAGGTTATCCAAGTACTCTGCGTTCCCAGTCATGTGCCTTGAGCATCCACTGTCAAAGTACCATGGAACTTCAGCATCATCATCTTCCCTAACCAACGCCATGCTACATTTGAGGCCAGATCCTGTAGTAGCTGAAGGGTACAAATCTGCCTTCTTCATCCACACTCGACTTGTACTACCAATCCTCCAGAACTTTTGTTGTTTCCACACTTGCCTGATATTCTCCAAATATTTATGACAGAACCGTTTGTATTGAACAAACTTCCCACAAAAGTAACATCCATCAGACTGTCTTGTAGTACTTCTTGTTTCAGTTTCCTTGGCATGAACGAATCCTCCTGAGACAAAGTCTGTCATCCCTGTGGTGTTGCTTTCTCTTCCAGTGTACCCAAGCCCCATGTGTGAGCTCTCTGTTCTGCCTTGAGATAGAATCTTGTCGAGCTGCTTGGTACCCGTGAGCATCTTGATCTTCTTGTATTGCTGGTTCAACTCGGACTGCAATTCTGAGGAGACTTTTTTCTCAACTATCACCTCATGTCTGAGACCATCAGCTTATTTAACAAGGAATATCTTCTCTTTTATGAGGTTTACACTTTCCTTAGCAAGCTCAGTTTCCGTTTGAAGTTCGAGTCAGACTTTTTCAAACTCTGCTTCAAGACTTTCTTTAGATTTCTCAAGTGCCTTATTTTCAGCTCCAAATCTCAAAACTGTCTCACGTATCTCTTTGTAGCTTTAAGTCAACTCTTTCTCTGATTCACTCTCGCTCTTAGAGTCAGACTCAAATTCAGTGATCCCCAAGAATGCCACAAAGTTATTAAGCTCTTCTTCACTGTTGCTGTCAGAGTCACTGTGATTGATCCCAGTCAGCGATTTCTCTTTCTTCTTCTTGCTGTCAGTTTCACATTCAGCTTGAGTATGACCGAATCCTTTGCACACAAAGCACTGAAATTCTCTTCTTTTCACTATGGGACAATCAGTTCGCACATGTCCAAAGCCTTTACACTCATAGCACTTCACATCTGATTTCTTGATGATTTTTTCAGAGTCACCAGTCTTGGTCTTTGAATTGAACTTCTTGTAGGATTGTCCTTGCTCCACTTTCCTGAGTGCTCTATCAAACCTCTGCACGAGTAAACTCACTGGATCGTCGCCTACATCATCTTTTTCAATTGAAGTAAGTGCAATTCTTTTCACTTTCTTTCCACTGTCCAGCTCCATCTCATGAGCTTGCATCATCCCCATTACGTCATCATAGCTTATGTCGTCAGTGTTGAGAGCAACTTCCATGGCTGTTTTTGACCTCTGAACCTTTCTGGAAGACACCTCAAGAACTTCTTCACCATTTTCTTGTCTTTGTACTTCTTCCCGAGAGTGAGAGCTTCTTGAGCTAGAGAGCTCAGTTTGGAACTGAAATCAGCAATCGATTCATTTTCATCCATCTTTAGGTCGTCAAAGCGAGTATCCAGCATGTCTCTTCTAGAACTCAACGCCTTCTTAGTTTCTTCAAAGTGCCTTTAAAGAATATCCCAAGCTTCCTTTGCTGACTCACATCCCTGAATCAGCTCAAATTGTTTCCTTGCTACGCTGCAGTGGATAGCAGTGAGAGCCCGTGCATTGAACTTTGCAAATTTGTTCTCATCTTCAGTCCACATCTTCTGCTTTAGGAACATCTTCACCACCTTCACCCCTTGAAACATGATGTTCCAACCTGACTCAACTGCCTTCCACGCAAGCGGATCAATACCTTTGATTGTCGCCTTCATCTGGCTTTCCAGAACCCATAGTTTCCAACTTTTAAGATGACTTTGGAGTGCACCACTAACTCTTTAAAGATGTCCATTCCTTCCACGGGATCCTTACCTGTTTAAGAAAAACACAAGTACCTGCTCTGATACCAATTGCAAATGTAAGAGTAGTGTAATATAGAAACTAGAACACACAGTAAGACAAGATTCTTCTTCTCAAGAAAACACGACTAGATAAATCCTTTTAAAAGGTTCATACAAGATCTCTTAAAAGCAATTCTCAATCAAGCTCAAGACAATTTTAACTTGTTGACTAGCCTAATCTATTCAAGACTTACCACAGTCGTTGAATAACTTCTAACTCTGAGACGTTGTCTCACCTTACTGGGACTCACAAAACTCTCTATCGCTAAAAGCTTTTCCCACTGTGTTGGCCGACTACAACCCAGTCGACCATCTCTTTATACCTAGAGAGAAAACCCTAAATTCTACCTAATGGAAACTTTCCCTTTTCTATTACAGCAAATAAGACAACTTTCCTCTTTTTAAATCGTTTGCTTCTTCTCCACTTCTATTTTTTAAAACCCACCAAAAAACATCTTTATATCTTCATTAAAGTTTCCTTTCTTTTTCTTCCTCTTTTCATGGTTATCCTAATAGTTCATGTAACTTCGTCTGCACCATGCATCTTCATACATTTCATACGTGGTTAAGTTAGTAGGCTTTCATTATTTAAACATTGTATTTGTTGTAAAGTACGATGGAGACAAGCGAAGCAAGTAAAACGTAACGTGCATGCATCCATACATAATTTTATATCCTTATGTAATAATATCAAAACTAGTTTCCAAAATTTTAATTCCAAACACTATTATTCACTTAGTGGATAATGATTATGATGGTCCTCTCTTGGATGTTTATGCTTCATATCCTATACTATTTTTTTAGTCTTAGCAATGTATCAACTCTCAAAACCTCTCTATATATATGTACACGCAAAACTAAAATAGTACAGTACTAATATTGAAAAGAAGACAAATATTACTTGTACAAAAATGCATAAATCATTGTGATTAAGAATCTAACGTATAAAAATTGTAATAAAGTTATACACCAGAATATCGAAATAAAATGTTAACTTAAGAACTGTTTTTTACAAAGATGTTCTGTTCTACTTCTAAAATGTTAAAAGGTATTCTGGGACCAATCATATAAGTATACATATCCAAAACCCCATCAACTTTTCTTGATTCTTTCCGATTGTCCCCATGCCATTTAATTTTGAGAAGTCGTTACTTCACTGTTGTGATTGATAACTAGTTCACAATTAAATAAATGCCTTAACTCATTTGATCAGTTTTGATGCAGACATGAGAAAAGAAAGTTTTGCAAGGTTTAGCTTTCTAAAAGTTTTTGTAGGGTTTAACTATGTATGGTCCCTCTTTGTTTAGTAGATGGTTGAAAAAGGGCTGATTGAGTCCAAACTCGCATGTGAATCGGTCTGTCTTCAAATGCTTTTGTCTAAAGGGGTTGATATATAGATAATTCGGTACTAGAGATAGCTATCAGCTTTAGTAATGATTTTTCTTCTTCTTCTTCCTTTATTTTATGTCGACGGTTCCACTATGAAAACCAAACACGAGGTCGTTGGCATTGTTGGTCTTGAGTCATGTCATCTTTAACATCTGTACGGGGAACTTCACTTTCGAAAGTCCTTGTTATTACTCATTATGATGAAAATTTTTGCTTTAAAGAATGGAACTCCATTATTTTATTTTATGTATGATCTCAAGGTTCTTTGGTCCACTAGAGTGGCCAAGGCTGGTCCAATTGTAATCATAATAAAGATGAATGAAATGATGCAGAGCATCAAACATCAAAATTGCTTTATTCCCGAACCAATGAATTCTAATGTATATACAAAACACCATGAAAGATAATATAAAAAATCTAAATCTAAATTAGTGGCTAAAAAGTGAATCTTTGCTTTCCATGATGTCTCTAGTGTGATTCTCACGTGTTACCTTTCCTCGCTGTGTGTGTTCATCCTCCGAGTGATTTCTGCTTGTAACCATTTTTGATCCTATCGTAAAGTTTCTCCTTAGTTTTACGTTTCTTGTCCATTTTCAAACGATATCTTTCTTCACGTTCCCTCTCGTAAACGCCTTTCCAATGCACTTCTCCTGTTAGTGGCCACAGCCATCTTTCCCTTGGATGGTCGTTATCATCTGCTGCTTCTGCTAAGTCCTCGTCCATGCTTTTCAGTAACGTGAAGTTAAAGTACTTAGCCCACATTAAACCTTTTCGTTGCGGTAATGAATGTTGTTCCTCGATTGAACCGTCTTTTGGGTTTATGTAAACCATCTTTCTCCCGCTGTGATATGCCCATACATTAACCAACAGTTCCAGAACCCGGCAGTAACAGTGCTTTCTCTACTTATTGTTAAAAACAAATCTTTAATTTGTGAAGAAATGGGAGAGCCAAAAGTCAAAGAAGTAAGAAGCTGGGAGGAATTTTAATTACCTCGAGCTGGGATGAAGCCAGTGAGCAACTTTTGGAGTCGTTAAGATTGTTATGCAGTGCATCTAGAGACTCCGAGAACATTCTGTGAAGCTGGAACAGTGAGTATCGGTTGATGTTTTGGTCAATATATGTTAAGAAAGTAATATGTACCTTGAGAACATGACAAACTCGAGGAAAGACGGAGTTGGCATCACCCAGTTGTGGAGAGAAGACCAATGATGACCATCTTCAGGCATGGGAGGAAGCGCTTCAATGTGTTCTGGCAACCCATACATATGTCGAAATGCCTCTTCGAAAGTAGTCCTGCATCAATTTAAAATCCAAAGAACTATGGGTAAGTTAAAAGCCTATATTATGCAATTTTGTATACTATCTTCGCCATTAGCAACATTAAATCTGTAATGCGTTGGAGGGAGTACCTGCAGTTTCCTTGGTTAAGGATATCACACATCGACCAGAACGTAAGTCCATTTCTACTTCCAAGTGAGTCAGCATCAATGTCTAGCTTTGTCCAGAAGTAAACAATCTCCCCCTTGGTATCCTGTTGAATAATGTTTTCCAGGGACTCTTCAGCTTTAGATGATAACGAGACCTGTCTCGGGAGAAAAAGCGTCACTAAACGGTGTCAAAGTTACACAACGGATGCAAGACGAGGATGTGGCTATGTGCTAAAGAACTACCTTCCTACCAGCAGCACGCCATGACTGAAATCCAATCCAAGGTCTCATGTGAATGCTATCCACTTTATTAGCAACTGAAAACATTCCTCCAACTTCGCAGAGAATATCTCGATAATGAGTATCATTCAGTAGAGGTAATCGGTCTGCTGCATCTACGTCGTCCGAGCTTAGCCTTCGATCTTTGCTGGACTTAAAAAGTCAGAAACCAGTAAGATGATTAAGAACAAGTTTACCCTTATTATGTGGATTTGATAACTATTGGATGGAACATCACAAACCAATAGAGAAGCCTACCAGGCTCAAACCACGGTACAGAGACCCATGATGCAGAAAAGGCCAAGCACCAGCTCCATTGTAAATCTCATATATACATAGAGGCTGACCCGTTCGTTCTAGCTCTCCTTCATCCCGTTCGTTCACCTCAAATTTTAGCTTCTCCGACTTGCGCGCATTCCGGTATATCTCTTCCCAATCCTCAACATCTCTTTCGATTCTGTCCTCTAGCTACATATCAGACAAGGAAGAGATAATTCAATACAATAGACTAATGCAGCATAACTAGACTAACATAAAAATGTCTTGGGAGAACCTAGAAATATGTCTGATGGCAGCAAAATTTGATACCTCCTCAGATTCTAATTTCTCGTACTCTTCAGCTCCCTCGATCTGTTCAAGGACATCCCAGTCTAATTTGGAAGGAAGCTCATCCGAAAGAATTATGGTATTGTTGTCAACAGGGTTTGTTGACTCAACAACACCTGTGAACTTCTCTTCGACTTGGAAAACAACTCCAGATCTTTCAATGGAAGCATACGCGGAGTCCTGGATTAAGAGTTTTGTCTGCCCTATTTCGCTCCTGAACAGACTCCACTCCCAAGCGGCCACCTGAAGTTGAGAAATAGGACCTGGCAAGAAAGTATCAGATGGAAAATGGAGTATGTTCTCCAAAAGCCTAGCATACCCAGTTATGCACTCTGTCGCCATCATGTTCTTAGCTAAACGTCTTCCTGAAGAGGCAATTGTTTGAGCAAATTTAGAGAGCCTTCCATCTAATATCAAGGGTAAGAATGCCTTTAACAATGTATCAGGGTCGTTTCTTCTAAAAAATATTCCATGAACACCATCAGCCATCTGCAGTTCAAGGTCCATAGATAAGCAGAAAACAAAGATGTATTTGGTAATTGTCGGATTATTAGGAAATCATAAACTTTAGTATACTCACATATTTTTGCATGGCAGGAAAGTCGGGTGTTATAATAGGGATGCCAAAGCTCATAGCTCTCACAATTAATGGGGGGAAATTTTGTTCCTCTTGGGAAGAGGCATAAACAAGAATATCAGCCATCAGTAGAACTCTATTCACATCCTCATTCAAACCAAAATGCCGAACACTGTCTTGGGTCAACCCAAGCCTCGATGCAACCTCCTGCATTCATGTTAACACACAATTATATCTTCAGTATACAATCTCAACCAACACGAACCACACACAGCGGATATACTTTCCCAGCAGAATATAATGTGTGTTTGGTATGACCTGAATCATATAGTATTCACATGAATGCATCCTTTTTCATGCAAAATTACTGTTAAATAAGCAGGCTATGTGAACTTGAACTAAGAGACATTTACAAGAATTTTTTACTAATGCACCACTTAATGTCTTTTCACAAGACCATTAGACCTCTGTTGATAGTTCCTAATCTTCTCGGTTGGAAATGATATGATAAAGCGTACCAAAAAAAAATTCTTACATGTACAGCATCGCTCTGTCCTTCGGTAGAATTACCGTAGAGAAATACAAACTTAAAGGAACCACCGGTATCTTTTCTGCTCCCGTATCGTGTTAAAAGCGGTCCCAGCATGTGCATTGCCACAACATTATCCCAAGAAAAATCATCATAAAAGAAGGAGCTCCCAAGCACCATGATGATCAGGTCATCCTCGCCAAAACCGTTAATCTCCCTCAGTGCTTGCTTTGTGTGGGTTTCACTGTAGCTTTCAGCAGCCCAAACATCTACTACTGATTCCGGAATCACAACGAAGTTCCCATCATCAAGAACGCTATACAACATCTGAACAAATTGTATGATCTTAGGCAAAATACAAAGCAGACATTTTGGCATAATGGAAGTGGTAACACAAGCTTATTGCAGACAGGAATATACCGGCAGAGTAAACTGTGGAAAAACAACTGCATTTGCTCTCGTAAAAGTACTTCTCCAGTGGGAGATTAGAGAATTTTGGCCCATCTTTTGGTAAACAGGTAACTGATTTGCAAGAAAATCTTCATGAACTATCCATACAAGTGGTACAGAACGAAATGGCTCCTGCATAAGGCTGCATATATATAAACCTTTGTTGTCATCACAGAATAATTAACTAGAGTTCTGAGACGCCGAACACTTTTGTTTTTTCTCACTTCTTAAGCAGAAACAGCCAGTATAAGTACGCACTACAAAGGTCCACTCTGATAACAGCCAACTAAACAAAATTAATTTACTCACCTTGAAATGGCTTCTTTTGCTTCAAGCGAATCAGCAATAACACCTTCAAAACTGCACAAGATGAATCACTGTAACTTTATCCAGGTGAAGTGGAGAAACAAAATATATTCAAAAAGAGTAACCAAGAATCATCCGCAAGGAAATATGATCTTAAAAAAAAGCCCACGAAAACGATAAGAAGAGAATCGATAGGACTCATACATTGTCCAATCAGCGTAACCCAGCTGCCCTGAAACCAAAACTTTAACATGGCCAGCTAACTGTTCCCACAATGGACGTGCTTCACCATTCTCTACGGCAAAAACCTGACAACTTCTAAGGTCACAAAGATTTTCTAATAGATGCGAAATACAAGACACATATAAACATGTATCCACTTTTCACTGCATATTTACGGTGGATTAACAACAAATAAGAGCACAGATTCTGCTTAATTTCAACATGAACGCTAGAGCCTAGAGCTGCCATAAAGTTTCACCTTAAACACATAACCCAGTTTTTGAAGATTCTTCACCACTGTGAACAACATTAGTGTTCGGGAATCCTTCCTCATATTCCCTAGGATCTGTCAATCACAATATTAAAAATAATAATGAGTGAATAGAAAGTGGCATAGAGACGAACTAATTGAAAAAACATTATGTGAGATCGTATAGTCTAGCAATTGTAACATTATGTAGTTGAGATTCTCACGAGAGCAAGCCTCGGTGGACGAACGCCGATCCTAACCTCCGATCGCAAGCGATCAAGACCTTCTCCTTCAATCAACCTCCTCGCGATCCTTCCAGGGACGTACTTCAACGTACTCTCCGATCCAATTCGGCTTCTCACGTTCCCTCTCTTCACATCCCCTTGCCATGAAATCGAATTCTGAAGCAATAGAGAGGACACGAGGAAGGCGCAAACCGTGAACGCGACTAGAGAGTAGAGCAAACATGATGCGCCACGTGGCTTGAGCAACGAGAGGAATCCGAGGCCCTTGCGGTTAAGGGATCGCGGTCGGGTACGTAAGGAAGACCGATCGGAAGCGGAGTGAGATCGATCTGAATTCCTCTTGGGACGGAGTCGATGATCTCGTGCGGAGACGTTGTTGTCATGGATCTCGTGGGAGAGAGAGTTTCTCCCCATGGAGATGAAGAGAGGAAGAGCAAAGGCTGCTGCTTCACTGGTGCTCAAGACAGTGGTGGTGGTGGGGGGGGATGAGCAATTTTTTTGTCAAACTTCTCTACGTGAAATAATATTTTAAAATATTTATTTTCTGTCTACAATTTTTGTAAAATTATGTGAATTGTTTCCTCAAAAAGATCATATTTTCACGCGTTTATAGAGGTCCCAACTTGCTTTTTTTTGAGTCACTATTAGTAGACTACTAGTAGTGATAATGATATCTCAATCTTTCTTTTTTGTAAATCTCTATTTAATTAATCTATTATATTAAAAGAGAAGTTACAATTTCTCTTCATGTGTGATATTTTTAAAAATGGATCATTCCTAGAAAATAATATTTCATATATATCTTAATAACATTTTATTTGACTTAGTTACAATATCTTTTGATATCTTTTCTTTTATTTCAAATAAAATATATATTTTAAAAAGAATTCTAACAAAATATTTTAGAATCTTTTATAAACATTAAACATATGAATAATAATATATACCAATAATGATGTAAATAAATATATATATACATATTTATAAACGAAATTAAACACCCGCTCGGTTGAGCGAGTCAAAATCTAGTTCTAGTTTTTATTTTGATAATACTGATGACGAGTGTTGAGTGTTAGTAAGAGTTAACCGGAGATATGATTTTTCTTCCAATAATCGTTCGATCTCCTAGGGTGACGATTGAATACGAAACCATAAAAACTAAAGGGAGGAGGACTTATTTCCACACCTAAGAGCATGTTTATTGGGGGTGCTTAGGGAGGGTACTTAAGGGAGTGAAATGCTTAGTTTTGAAGAGAGAGTGTTGAAAGTGCTTAATTAAGCACTTTCAACACTTTCTCCCTTCAAAACTAAGCACCCCACTTCTCTAAGCATCCCCTTAAGCACCCTCCCAATAAACATGCTCTAAACTATCATATAGTAATAAATGTATATACTCTTTCAATCTCGTCCTAATTGCACACTATTTAAGTTTAACAATCTGTTTCCACATACGAACATACTTCACAATCCGTTTTTCCACAAACCAAGATTTGGCTTGGTTAAGTTGGTTTATAACTTAAACTGATAGTGAACCAGTTCATATCTGTTGATATTGGTACAGCCTGACCCAAAGAAATATCCGACTCGGGATTGAATTATTCCCCACTCAAAATCCTTTAAAAATCCCTAAATCAATTTCAACATCTAGAACCCTAAAATAAAATAAAAACGAGAGAAAATATTTCCATCTCTGCAACTAAGAAAGTATGACTCCATGGTCCATTTCTACAAAAAAGAGAGATACAAATTCAATACTAAAAAGAAACAGAGAGATAATACAATAAGGAATCGAGAGAGAGAAAGAGAGAGAGAGAGATAGAGAGAGAGAGAGAGAGAGAGAGAGAGAGAGAGAGAGAGAGAGAGAGAGAGAGAGAGAATTTACCTGATTGAAGCCAAGCTGAGAGAGATGTTCTTCGTGAGAGAGATAGGTCGTCTTCCCCAATTCAGGATTATGAAATTTCTTAAGTCGGATCTTGTATCCAATTGTATTAGGTTGATTAAATCTGGTTTACTCTCTAATCGGATCATAATCGGGTCGTTTTTGGTTTTAATAAGTTAGTCATTGGTTAAGTTTCGGGTTTAGAAAACACTTGCCAACTTTAAACCGTTGTTTATTGGTATTAGTTTATCCTTCAAAGTTTAGAGGGAAACAAGTTGTAAAGTTTATTTGTATGTGGAAACATGTTGTTAAATTTAAATGTGTGCAATTAGGTCGAGGTTGAAAGAATGTATACATTTATTACTATATAATAGTTTAGGTGTGTAAATAAGTAGTCTTCCCAAAATTAAATGAAATCATTAGATTATTATTTTTTACCAAAGGATTAATGAAATATATCTGTATCACCATTCACCACACTATAACGCGAATAAAAGCTTAACTGAATGCAATCTGCAAATGTATTTAATGTAGCCGAAATTTACTTTTGTTTTCACTGTTTCATATGGTTACATCCGTCTTTCATTGAAACCGAGAGTGAAAGAAAAAATAACACCAGAATTAAAACAAATATCTTTTCGTTGTGTCTTTTCATTAAACAACAAATCGAATTTATGAAACACATGGTCGTCGCCATCCACACCCTTCGTTCTCATTTATTAACTGTACCCTTTGTCAAGCGTTTTATGTATGGGGGTCTTTTGATAGAGCTCTCACGTGATTTATACTGTCACTTAGCTTTGTTTCTCTATTTTGAGGTTTTAAACTTGAAGTTCATGTACTAATTCCGATAGTCCATGCTCTGTAGTATATATTCCCTCCGTTTCAGTAAGATGAATGTTTTAGTATGTTTCACACATATTGAGAAAATTTATAAATTTTAAATTACTAATGTATTACTTTTTGTAATGTACTATTCTCTATAACTTTTAATCAATAGAATTTTAATAAATATTTTGAAGTTTACAATTTAACATTAAATTATGCATTGAAAATGTGAAATATGTATTTTTTGAAGCAAGTTATTTTCTCTAAATCATGTATTATATTGAAACGAAGGGAGTATATAATAAGATCGTTTAAATTTATTTCAAATCAGTCAGTTAGAATCATGATGTTTTAAGACTGTGGGATTCGAATCCAGACCTTGTCTCGAAAGAATGACTCTCTTTTTTTTGGGTAAACAACAATGATTCTTATATTTAGTGTAGTCGTCTCAAGTACTAAAATATAAGTTCCACGTCTAGTTAAAGAGATTATGTGACAAAAAAATCGGAAACTTAAGGACCAAACAAATATCAATTAAATTTCAGTGTTTTTTTAAACTTGTGAAGTATCCATTCAAAAGCACATTCTAAATTACCTTCACCTTAATTATAAATATACTAGATTTTGATTCGCGCTTTCAAAGCACGGATTTATATTTGAGCAAACTTTATATAATCACATTTCTTATATATATATAATTTCAGATAAACTTGTTTAGTTCATTAATTTCATCCAACATAGTATTTTTAAAAATGCAAAATAATATTTCGGTGAAAGTTTTATATGATCGCATTTTTGTTTTATATAAAGTAGACATGTGCATAAAATCCATAACTCGACGTCTAAACTCAATCTAAACAAAAAAAATTCGGATCCGTAACCGATCAAAAATCTAAAATATATTAGAATGAGTTTTGTGAGATGGTATAAAATATATCCGAATCAAAGTGTTATTAGCCAGACCCGAATGAATAACCCAAAAACCCAAAAATCTGGAAAAAATTGAATCGATCTGTATGTCTAAATTAATCATAAATATAAATATTTGAAACATAAATATCTAGTTTAAATATTGAGTTCTATATTTATTTTACTATGATATTTAAAATTAATTATCTAAATTTTAAATAAGTACTTTACTAAAAAAAGTATCTTTTGTTTTGTTTTGATTTTAGATTTTAGATTTCCAAACCAATATAACCTGAATCAAAACGATATGTGGTTACTTTATCGATTTTAGGATGTGTACAAATTAAAACCAAACTCGACGTGTTATATTTGAATCTGATCCATACTTACAAACATGCCTACTTACAAATTATGACACCTATAATGTGATATAAATTAGTTTTGATTCAAGATATTCGATCTGTATCCCAATAGGTACTTAAACTCCCAAGCATAACTTAAATTATGTTTTATATTTTGTTAAATTAATTTTATATTTAATAAATATTGTGTTTGTTTATTGGAACAACCCGTAAAAATATAATCACAAAAATATCAGTAATAACATGTTTCATCATATAATTAAATATTAATACTAGCTATTATTAATATTTATTTTATACAAAATTATATATATATAAATAATTTTAAGACTTTATCTATGATAATTATATTATTATGTATAGGCGGAGGTTTGAAGATTTTGTTTATTATTATTTATTGTATCAGTTACATATAATTAAATATTAATTTTTTTATATCCTAATGTTTTAATTTAGATATGTATATTACAATATAAAACTATTTTTTTTTAAATATCTTATGGTAGCAGTTTGTTATCCTGTAAATGTAATTCATTTAGTTTATAATTTATAAAGTAGATTAATTTATATCATAATTATTATTTGTGTAATTTTTAGTTACAAATATGAAATATTTATATATAAATGTTATAGAAGGTTATTTCTTATTCTATAAATGAAAATGAGTTAATATTCATTTGTAATTTAATATAATATTATTTTACGCTTTTATAATTAAAATAATATTAAAATAACAAATATTTATCTTTAATATAAAAATATATTAAAGATATTTTTAAAATGTAATATGAAAAAGTAGTTATTAGCATCTTTTTGATATCTTATTTTGAATATATTTAAAATATTATATTAATATAATGTGTTTATTTAATAATAACTAAATTTGTTGTATGTAACATAACATAAAATTAAATAAATATAATGTTTTCATCTAGACTACTTAAAAGTAGATAAAATGTGTTTCTGTTTTAATAATGTTGATATATAATAACTTTCTTAAAACATGTCTCGAATATCTAGAATTTTAGTCAGATTAGCTCGTGGCTCGGGTCAAGTAATTGAATTTAGAGGTTTGCAAGAAACTTCTTTATCAGGTTTTTTTTTTGGCAATTCTCACAAATAGATATTTTAAATTTTTATCATAAAAGTAGATTTCAAAAATTAAAAGGATCAAATAATATTTTTTATTTTGAAAATTTTAATTTTTTTCTTTTAAAAATTTGAAATATTATCTCAGAACCTCTGTTCCACAACTCTAAACAAAAAAAAAAGTTTAAGATTAGTTAAACCAAAGGGTATAAATGTATATTTACTTATATTTAATAAAACATCTAAGTTTAGTTTGATCATTTTTACTTTAAAGTTTATATTTGTGACAAAAAAAATTAAGTTTATCCTAAAAAATTTCTCTTTTTTTTTTGAAAAAACTTCTTTTA